AGAACAGTTAGCAAGAAGCCTGCCATGGCCACACAGTTTGTAAGCAATATAAGTCTCTGTGTTTACTTGCTGTGGGCCTGGCGGGTGACAAAGATTTGTCCTGACTGTGGGCAAGGCAGGAAAACTCTAGCTACAAATGGCGCCCAACGAGTTGACAAGAGTTTCCACCTAAAACCTGAGAAAAGATTCTAAAACGGAGCTAAAAACAGCTTCCTAATTGTCTCTCTCAAATGAGCAGCAGCTTGCCAGTTTGAGCTACTTGTGGGTTTCTGGCATGCGCACTCAACCTGCAGTATGGTGGGAATGAGGTCTCTGCAAGTGGCACATTAAGCTGTGTGGTGGATTTAGCTGTTGCTAGTACAAAACACAAAAAGAGGTTTCTGGGCTACACGCTGCTTGGATAAAAGCATAGACCCATGGTAGCTCCCAGAGCTGGCAGTAAACATGCCACCGCCATGTTGGGAAGCTGAGGTGGGCAGAGCCAGCAGCCATAGCACCGTTTCAGTCTTACAAATGCTGCAGTTTAAAGCAATAGATTCACAATAAGACAGATTCAGATGTAATAGTTTACAATGTGTAGGCTCGAAAGAGACAAAAAAGGTGATATATACAGTTATATAAACAAATACATAGTTTTAAAAAATAAAGTCTTTAAAGAGACAGTAAAATTAATATAAAAAATAGGCCACATAAAGATGAATATTACAGAGAGAATCTGGATTGTGTTGTCTTTGGGATTTTTAACTGTAGGAAAACATTTGATGGTAAAAGATGTTGAGTTAAACCAATATGTATATTTTAAAGATACCTTGACTTCAAAATTTGGATGTAAGGATGTGTTGCTTTGGAAAGGAGACTCTGCTTTTGTTCCTACAGAAAGCCAGAGGCTATGGATTTGTTCCAGATTAAGATACATCAGGTTTGACCAGCCAAGACCCCCGAAAGGTCTCTGATGACACCATGGCCCAGATAATCCAACATCCAGATCGGATTCGAGGCTACTGGCTCAGACAATACAGTCTCATGGACTATTCCATAATCCTAAAATTTTCTTTGTGTCCCCATAAGATACAGCGCCCCCCTCCAGCAGGAAGTAGTAAGCAAAGCTATGCCCAAATTCCCAAATTATATGTAATTTTACTTTGGTAAGGTTAAAATCTTCCTTTTTGAAAAAAAGAAAAAGAAAAAAGAAAAGGGGAAGTGCTGTGGGATGTTCTGTATGGCAAATGTGTTGCTCTGATTGGTTAGAAAATAAAACACTGATTGGCCAGTAGTCAGGCAGGAGGAAGTATAGGTGGGACAAGGAGAAGAATTCTGGGAAGTGGAAGGCTGAGTCAGAGACACTGCCAGCTGCCACCATGACAAGCCGCATGTGAAGATGCCGGTAAGCCACGAGCCACATGGCAAGGTATAGATTTATGGAAATGGATTAATTTAAGCTATAAGAACAGTTAGCAAGAAGCCTGCCATGGCCATACAGTTTGTAAGCAATATAAGTCTCTGTGTTTACTTGGTTGGGTCTGAGCGGCTGTGGGACTGGTAGGTGACAAAGATTTGTCCTGACTGTGGGCAAGGCAGGAAAACTCGAGCTACAACAACCCAAAACTCCAGAGAAGCCAGCTGACAAGGACGATCCAAAGAGGGACACATGGATCACCCTGGGAAGGGGAAATAGATGAGGGGTGGGCATGGAGGGTAGGGGTTGAGAGATAAGAACATAAGGGAATGGAATGGTATATTATGTCATTTTAAAAACACCTAATTACACTACAAGCGCCCTCCCCTGTTAGCATACAAATGCTAAGAGATTTGCATGCAGCTCACCACAAGCCACAAACAACCCTGTTAAGAAAATATATACTGAGCTTCTTATAGATTTAGAATATTAGCTTCTTGTCAGATGTTCTGGGTAGTTTTATGTCAACTTGACATAAGCGAGAGTCATCAGGGTGGAGGAAGCCTCAATTGAAAAAATGCCTCCATGAGCTAGGGGTACTGGCAAACCTGTCAGGCATTTTCTTCATTAGTGATTGATGGGGATCCAAAATGAGACAGGACAAGAGGGGAAAGGGGGGAGAACATACAGAACAAATAAATTGCTTTTGGACTTGTACCAAATAATGTCTGTAGCCATTAGATACAAATTAAAATGTTAGGTTTGTAGGTAAAAGCAATTCCCATGCATACATTTGTCAGGTATGCTGTATTGCATGGGATGTCCAAAGAAGGTAGGTCACTCCAGAATGCAATTTAGGTTCTTTAGCAGCAGAGGCAGAGTCTAGCCTCTGATGGACCAAACTTTGAATCACTGTTCAAAATCATATTTATTGATTGTTACATGAAGGTTGTTTTTTGAGCAAAACTAGTTCCTCATACCAAAACCCCTTTGATCTAGTCTATATGTTCTTTGAAGAAAATCATCACACCCTGTGATGTTAGTATCTTCTTAGGTTGCTCTCTACTTAATTAATTAGTTTGATTAATAAGTTAGTTTGAGATGGAGTCTTTCACTGAACCTGTAGTTCATCATTTCAGCTAGGCAAGTCTCTATCTGCTCCAAATGCTGGGGTTATGCACAGATGCTCCATTCATGTCTAGCTTTTACGTGGGTGCTGCAGATCCAAACTTAGGTCCTGGTGCTTGTGAGGCAGGTACATCTCTGGCTGAGCTATTTCTCCAGGTCCTCTTCAACTGTTCACTAACTTTTTTAGTATAGAGAATAATGGATTTCATTATGAAATTTTCATACATATCATATTTCACTCCTCTACTACCCTATCTCTCTCTGTTAATGAGGATTAAATTTCTGGTCTCATTTATGCTAGACTATGGTAAGGTATGGGGTTCACTGGGTAGATGCCCAAAAGTGAAATAGCTGGGTCATATGGCAGTTTGGGGTTTTTAGAGGTTTTGTTGTTGTTTTCTTGCTTGTTTTTGAGGAACCTCCAAAATGATTTCTATCATGTATGCATTTATATATGTAAACAAATGTACATACATGTGTGTATAGTATGGCATGTAGAAAGGAGATGAAGAAAGGGAAATATTAGCTGATGAGGAAGGGCAGAATGCTGCGAAAGGACACATGAGCCATGAAAGAAAATGAAAAAGTTAATTGTTTCTTTAGAAAGGAAGGTCTCTTAGCAGCAGACCTAACACAAAGAAATTGACACATTCAGTCTGCCTAGAATTCCCATCACTTGTACTGGACATGGACACCTCAGCTTAGCCAGCTAAATCTATCATTCTCCTTGTCCAGTTCTCACCACAGCCCCAGGCTGGCCCTAAATCCTGATTTAGCTGCTGAGATTACAAGCATAGATGCCATGCCTGACTCAAGCTCTGTTGTTGGAACCTGCAGGTAAATAAAAGGAACTCCACTTCCAAATGTGAGAACCCAGACATCTGAGGACAGGCTAAGATCTGTGTGGTGGTGCCAGTACACAGAGAACAATAGCCTGTGGATTTGTTTGGGGACAGGAAAGAAGTTTTGCAGATATTTGGCATGAAAAGGGCTGAGAGCCGGGCGGTGGTGGCGCACTCCTTCAATCCCAGCACTCGGGAGGCAGAGGCAGGCGGATCTCTGTGAGTTCGAGGCCAGCCTGGGCTACCAAGTGAGTTCCAGGAAAGGTGCAAAGCTACACAGAGAAACCCTGTCTCGAAAAAAGGGGGGGGGCTGAGAACTGTTTCTTTAGATTCTTAAGAACAGTGAATTCCAGGAAGCATCCCTAACGATGAATCCTATCCATAGGGTGGTGTTCCAAGGGGCTGTCTGCATCTTAGACATCACATCATTAAGTTTGGATAAATCAATATGATCTAATCTGTCATCATTGCTTGTAGCTAAAGTAGATAAGAACTTGTATGAAATCAAATAGAACTTGGTTTACCTCTTTTATAGTACTTTATGGAATACTCATGCATGAATATGATGACTGGATCAAATCCATGCCCTTTTCCCTCCCCTCCAATTCCTCTCCTATGCCCCTCCCACTTTTCCTCCCAACTCTCCATGCCCTCTCACTCTGTCTCTCTCTGTCTCTGTCTCTTCTTTGTCTCTCTCTCTCACACACACACACACAACACACATCACATACACACAAACCACACATCACACACACACCACACATCACACACACCACACATCACACACTTGCCACACACCACACATCACACACACCACACATCACACACACCACACAATACACACACCAGACATCACACACTTGCCACACATCACACAACACAACACACACACATACCACACATCACACACATACTACACATCACACACACACCACACATCACACACACCACACATCACACACACTAACACACCCTCACCACACATCACACGCATACTACACATCACACGCATACTACACATCACACACACACACACACCACACATCACATACACATTCACACACACTCACACACACCACACCACGCACATCACATCACACACACACACACACACACACACACACACACACACAGCAGTCTTCATTACTTTCATCAGATGTGCTTCAGGGGGAAGGAAGTCTCAGGGCTGAGTGGGGACCTCTCAGGGGCTGTCTGGGTATCCTTGGATGTGCTCAACTACAGAAGAAAACATCTTCTCCTTGGCATTCTGTGGACATGTGGAAGGACTTGGCATTCCAAGGGCAAAAAAACAAAAGGAGACGAGCTCCCGTGGCAGGATAATGTAGGGAAGTCCCTGCTTTATGCAGGTCCCTATAAACAGATCTCTCATCAGATGCCACAAAGAATGTGAAGCTGAGAGACAAGGAAACATGAAATAGGAAGAAAGGAAATAATCCCATGTGGGTGAATTCAATATAGCTCTGTGCAGGTGAGAGATTACAAATTACATAAATCCACACCCACCAACCAACCGATCTGTCTCCTATGGCATAATACAGGGATAGCTTGACTCCCACAGGGTTCCGATTTCAGGCCAAGCTGATCTCCTAGGAGCTATTTAGGCAGGATCTGGACCCCAGGACACAAGCCCTGGACTTAGCACCATGGCGCTGGGGGGGGCCTTAAGCATCTTTCTGTCCCTCTGCTTGCTTTGCCTGCTCATCTGGATTGCGTGGGAGAGAACCAGCAAGAGAGGGAAGCTGCCCCCTGGCCCCACACCAATACCAGTTTTGGGGAACCTGTTACAAGTCCGAACTGATAACATATTTCAATCCTTCCTGAAGGTGAGTGTATCCATTTCTTCTTATAGCAATGAAGGCAACAAACGCCATAGCTGAGTACACACCATAACTCATGATTCCTAAACACAGACTCAGAAACAAACTTTAGGAAAGTTAGGATTCTGAAACTACAGAATCCTCAAATTAAGGGGGGCAGTGGGGGGGATCAGTCCTAGACCCTGAGAACCCAGAACAAAATCCCCTCTTCTTGGGATCATGTATCACAATATAAGGATTTGAGGAATCTAATTTTTTTAAATATCATTTCTCTGTGTAGCTTTGTGCCTTTCCTGGATCTCACTCTGTAGCCCAGGCTGGCCTCGAACTCACAGAGATCCGCCTGCCTCTGCCTCCCAAGTGGTGGGATTAAAGGCATGCACCACCACTGCCCCGCTGAATCTCATTTCTTTAAGCACAACTTTCATCTCAAATTGTCTTAGACTTTTAAGATGCTAAAACCCAGCATTTCAAAGAGAGAAGATGCAGATCGTGGAGTTCAGCTATTCCAAGCCCATTGTTTCACAAACAAAACCAAGATGTACAAAATTAGGGACATTTTCTGTCCAAGGTCACAGGAGTCATTTTGATGTTTTCTTGCCAATAGCCCTTCCAAGCTCAGGATCTTCTACTAGTCTACCTTTTCATCCTCCTAGAATCTCTACCCTCTACATTCCTTGACTGGGGGTCTCGTCACACTCCAATTTACTCCTTTCCTTGGTATCTTCCTTCACTCTCAGCTCCAGAAAAAATATGGCCCTGTGTTCACTGTGTACTTTGGTCCGAGGCCAGTGGTTATTTTGTGTGGACACGAGGCTATGAAGGAGGCCCTGGTCGACCAAGCAGATGACTTCAGTGGCCGTGGTGAAATGCCTACAATAGACAAGAACTTCCAAGGTTATGGTAAGTTGCAGCAATAAGAACAGGAATGATTGCAATAGTCTCCGTGTGCTGAAGGGTCTCTGATAGGTCCATAAACCACCTACATTAACTCCCTTGAGAAGGAGATGAATGTTCTGCTAACTTTGAAAGTGCAAAAGATGATGGTAAGAAAGGTAATGTCACACAGTATGTGTGAGGGCTACTTTGTTTTTCAATTCCAGAATTTGGACTCTAAAGTGCTTGTAGTGTTATTTTTATTCTTGCTTTTAGTGAATTACTGTGTGGTATTATTTGTGTACTCCCCTGAAGCCATCTCAGGCAAGCTTAGTTCCTATCTGCCCATATGCACATACAACACAGGTCACCAGCACCTGCATTTAGGAGTATTCTTGTCTAGTGTTACCTATACACCCACTCCTACTTGCTTGCATTCTGCAAATGCCTCTTTTCATCTATCTGTCTATCTATCTTTGTATCAATAAACATTTTTCTCAGTTCTACCCATTGTTCTATAAATCCATCAAAATATATTCATTATCCTTTGTATGCAAACATCTTTCCACCATATTATTCACATTTCTTCAATGTTCTATGTATCCAAGAATCCGTGCTTACTTTGATTTGTGCAGTGACCTTTAATTCATTCACACACCTATTAATCTTTCCATCCACCTGCTCTTCTATCCATCCAGCCACTTTTACTTCCAGCCATTATCCATTCATCTTACTTTCTCTACCCACAAATGCTTCACTCAGAGTCTTTCATCCTCATATCTTTCCAGACAGACAGACAGACATCTATCCACCCATTCACCACACCATGAACCATGCCAGTCCAGAGCACTAGCTGCTCATCCAGGGGACTTGAGTTTGGTTCCCAACACTCACATGGGGCTCACAACCATCTGTTGCTCCAGTTTCAGGGGAAATGATCCCCTCCTCTAGACTCCACCATTCCACTCTTCCTTTTGTTTATCAATATATTCTAAAATAATCTTATTGAATTTCTAAACAGTTCACCAATCCATACATCAGGTGATTTCTACTATAGTCCTCATGCAACTCCTTTGTACAGGTGCATTGATGTACAGTGGTGAGCTTCTGTGTACACACATATATATGTTTGAAGAATCCAACTGGCACCCAGAAAATAGAATTAGTATTTCCATTTAGGAAATACTCCATATGGCATTCCATCCTTACCTCCTCCACTTTTCTAGGCATTGAACATGAAACTAACCCAGCCACAGCTCATTAGCCTATAGAAAAACGTCCTTGCTCTACTGGATTTTTCATAGCCTCATTCTTTTTCCTTCAATGCAGACTATTTTGGAGGGAATCTTGATTTCCCATTGAGTCTGGAAGGTTGAGCTTTAATAATCGTGTCTACCACAGACTTGAGAGCAGAAAGGGTGGAGGGCAGGCGCCTGACCACAGACATTCCGCAGGTTTAGCTCTGTCCAATGGGGAACGATGGAAGGTACTTCGGCGTTTTTCCTTGGGCGTCCTTCGAAATTTTGGAATGGGGAAGCGGAGCATTGAAGAGCGGATCCAGGAGGAGGCTGGTTATCTACTGGAAGAATTCCATAAAGTCAAGGGTATGGAGACCACATCGGGTGACTGGGTGCTTAAGGAAAGTTAAGTCATGGGGAGACTTGGTGGGAGAAAGACCTGAAATAAGAAAGGATCGAAAACAATAAGGATTCATAGAGATTTCCAGGAAGGTTCCATATGTTAGAAATCAACATGGAAGATTCTGAGAGACAGTTTGTCTAGAAATGTTCACCAGTGAATCTCAGGGGTCTGCAACTCAAGAAACCATACAGGATTCTAGTGTTGTGTGAGCTTGCATCTTTTCCTAGAGAAAGGATCAAATGTTGCTATGTCATACATGCTTTATTGTGATGAAGAAAATAACACAAAAGTTACCGTCTTCACCATTTTTAAGAGTAGGTAGAGTTTTTGGGGCTGGAGAGATGGCTTGGCTGCTAGAGTACTGGCTGATCATCCAGGGGATCTGAGTTTGGTTCCCAGCACTCACGGAAGGCTCACAACAGTCCATAATTCCAGTTCCAGGGGACCCAATGCCCTTGTGTGGCCTCCATAGGTACCAGGAATGCATGTAGTACATAGACATACATGCAGGCAAAACACCTATACACAAGTGAAAATTCAATTAAAACAAAATTTTAAAAAGAGTATAGTTTGTCAGTGGTAGGTATATTCACTTCACTGGGAAACAAATGCTTAGAAAATTCTCATTTTGAAGGTCTTTACTCCCAATTACCCCTGGTGTTTGTGGAGGGGGGGTAATTTCTTCAGGAAAATTATTCTCTTGGGTATTTTACTACATTAATTTTTTTCAAAAATTACAATATATTTATATCATATTTCACCTCCCAATTCCTCCCACATCAGCCCCACCTCCGTATCCACCCAACTTCATGTTTCTTCTTTCAAAATAAAATAAAACAACAAAATTCAAAACAAACAAACACCCCTATCCAAGAAGTTATTTGCAACTGATAATTGATGGAAAGAGAAAAATCAATTTTCTCCAATGTAGTGTCAATGAATAATATCAACCACACTCCAGAGAAGACCACATACCCAGGAGTAGTCCAACACAAAACACACTATGAGAGGTTTTTGTTTATGTGTGATTTTTGTTTTATTATAGTTTTTAAAGGTGTCTAGTTCTTAGCATAAAATAAGGTATAGAGCCAATTGAGACTAGAAAGAAAAGACAAAGATTGAGAAATATAGAAACAATAGATATATATCTTTAAACCAGAAGTCCCTTATCTGGACTCTATAGACAAATAAGGAGTCCACCCATGGCTTTGAACAGTCTTGTACCTCCAGAAGTTATCTGCTATGTTTTACATCATGAATGTGTGCATGGTTCTGGAGAAATTGACCCCCACACCGTTTACTTGACCAGAATCCCATTTTACAAATAGTGCATCTGAGACCTAGCAGAATAATTTCTTTTTCCATATGTATGCATGTTGGATGTATGTGCAAGTACATGTGCACATACATGCACACATGTGTGGAAGCCAGGGGTTGATATCACATGTCTTCCTTAATTCCTCTCATCTCTATTATTATTATTATTCATGGATTATCACTGAACCCAGAGTTCTTGCTACCACAAATCTAGCTAGCCAGCTTTTCCCAGAGAATGCCTATCTCCACCTCTCAAGTGCTAAATCAGAGATAAGCTGCTACACTTTTTTAAACTGGCCCACTTTTTATCTGGGTGCTTACGATTCTAACCCCAATCTTCCAGTTTATGTGGCAAATGATTTGTCTGCTGAACCTTCTTCTCCCCAGCTGTAGGAAGAATTCCTTAATAAGGATTTTTTTAGTAGACCTAGACTGACATCAGGTGTTCTTTTCTAAATCGTTATTATTTTATGTGTATAGATGTTTTGCTTGCACATATGTCTGTGTGCCATGTGCATGCCTGGTGTTCCTGGAAGCCAGGTGATCCTTAGAACTGAAGTTGCAGATGGTTGTGAGCTGCCTTGTGGGTGCTGGGGATTAAACCTGGGTTCTTTGCAAGAGCACCCAGTGCTCTTAACCACCCCCTCTGGTGTTTTGTTTGTTTGGTTTGGTTTGGATTTTTTTTTTCTTTTTTCAGATGTGTCCTCTACTACTTTCCATCCATCACAAATACATTGAGGTAACGGTGACAAAAGATCATGCTGAACTTCTCTCGAATTTCTTGGGTGCTTATTCCAGGGCAGGTGCCAGGCCAGGCATTTTATATGCATCATCATATTGAACACTCACAGATCAATTAGGAGATTTCCAAACCAGGTTTCAGTTTGGGAATACTAGACTCAGATATGAAAATGAGGTGTTCGTGCATACCACTAAGCAGGGGACCCAGGGCTCTGTGTAAACACTGAGTGGTTTCTTGCCCTACCTCACCCATGACTGTCTCCAACATAGTCAGTTTCTACCTCCAGGAGCTCCCATAGACCCCACCTTCTACCTGAGCCGCACTGTGTCCAATGTCATCTGTTCCATGGTCTTTGGAAAACGCTTCGACTATGAAGACAAATGTTTCCAGAACCTGATGAAGATGATCAATGATAGCTTTGTGGAGATGAGCAAGCCCTGGGCACAGGTACTTATTAGTCACTAATCAACCCCATGCTCACCCTTCACTCTCAAGCAAGCACTTACCTGTATGCCACCTAATCCTCCTCCCTTCATCCCTAGGAGGCACTAATCAATTTGTCCAAGTATGCAGGAAACAAAGGGTTACACCCAAATCACAGATCCAACAGTAGACTATTTAGTGAAATAGGGTGTCTCTGGGTAGCTTAGGTTGGCCTTGAACCACTGATCTTCCGCCTCAGTGTCCCTGGTGATGGGATTAAAATGTGCTCTGCTCTGCCCTAGCTCCTGCCACTGACTTTGAGCCCAACTCTGACTCCAGAACTCGGCCTATCTGGTCCCTGATGCCTGTGACTGACACACACCTCTTTGCCTCTACCCCACAGTTATATGACATGTTCTGGAGAATCATGCAGTATTTTCCAGGAAGTCACAACCACCTCTATGACTTGTTAGAAGAGCTTAAGGATTTCATAACATCCAGGGTCAAGATCAATGAAGCATCCTTTGACCCCTCAAACCCTAGGGACTACATCGACTGCTTTCTCATCAAGATGCACCAGGTACTTTTCCCTTACACTATTCTTTTTGTCTTCTGAAACCCTCATTCCCACCATGTCAAACCCATCTTGCAACTGTTAGAGGAAAAGAGAAAAAGCATTATCTCATATAGTTTATTTCAATCTCTAGATAAAAATGTGGAAACTTTAGAAATGTAAACGATGTGCATCTTTCAAATAAACTCCCTTAAAATTAATGAAATCAGATTTTTTAGGATGAAATTTGTAGTCAGTATTCTCTAGAACCGTGGTTCTCAACTTTCCTAATGCTGTGATCCTTTAATATAGTTCCTCATGTTGTAGTCACCCCAACCATAAAATTGGTGCTACTTCATAACTAATTTTGCTACTGTTATGAGTGGTAAGGTAAATATCTAATATGTGACACCTGTGGGGGATCATGACACACAGAGGAACAGAACTAACAGAGTGTGTGTTTATGTGTGTGTGCGTGTGCACGTGTGCGTGCATGTGGTTATAATGTATTAGAATGGCTTACAGGCTGTGGTTCAGCTAGTCAACAATGTTGGTCTACCAATGAAATGTCCAAGAATCCAGTAGTTGTTCAGTCCATGAGGCTGGATGTTTCAGCTGGTCTTCAATATCTGCAAGAATCCTGAAGAAGTCTGCTCTGATGCCAGTGAAGAATGGACTTGCCAGTGAGGATGAGAGCAAACAGGCAAAGAGAGCCAGGTTCCTTCTTCCATGTCCTTTATATAGGCTGCCAGCAGATTAAAAGTGGATCTTTCCACATCAAAGACCCAGATGAAGTAGGTCTTCCCACGTAAAGTTGATAACCAAGAATAGCCATCAAATATCAACTGCATGTTAGTGGGCTTTTGTGTGATACTTCCTTATAAGCATACAGCATACACTGGTCAAAACCAACACCCTTCATCTTTGTGAGTATGGCCTACTTTCACATAAACATTTCCTAGCTTTCTTCTATGATAGAGAACATGCAGTAATTGCCTCTGTGCCTGGCTTGTTTCCAGTAACCTAAACTCCCCCAGTTCTATCCATTTTGCTGCAAAGGATGATTCCCTTGTTCTTCATGACACCATGTATATATACCATATTTTTTCTAAATTATACTTCAGATCTATAAAGTTTAGCATAAAGAAAGAAACTTAAAAATCTTAGAGTTTTAAGACCATCTATACAACAGACTATATTTTTGAAAATCAGAATGTACCTTTAGAGTCTCAGAATTGAGAATCTTGGATGCCCACTCTCTAAATTTGAGTTTAAACTTCAAAATCACAAGTTTAAAGTCTTTGAGAGGTAGGGACAATTATGTAGCCTGCATGCCTGTGTGTTGACCATTAGAATTCTAGGAAAATCATTATGTAACCTGAGTATTTGGCAATTGAAAGCTGTGTGCTCTGATGCCTCCCAAACTTTCAAATTGTGCAAGATTCTGATTCCTCTTCTTGCCCACTACATGCACATCGGCCTTCTCTTGCTGTTCCTCTAAAACACCAGACATGCCCCCGACTCAATATATTAGCTTGTGTTCTTTCTCCTGGACTTACTTAACCCATCTGTCCTCCTTTCACAAAGGCACCTCCTCTACACAGAGGAAAGGGGAAGGTAAGGGCTTGAGGGGGTGATTCTGTTGGCAATCCCTTTTGCTTTCAGGATAAAAGTGACCCCAACACAGAATTCAACCTCAAGAACTTGGTCCTCACCACCCTCAACCTCTTCTTTGCTGGCACAGAAACTGTGAGTTCCACCTTGCGCTACGGATTCTTGCTGCTGACAAAGTATCCCGAGGTGGAAGGTGAGTTTCACTCTGAGCAACTCATCTGTACCTCCCAGGCCTCCTTGGAAGGATAGAAATCTTGAAATTGTACATTCCCACAGCCTTGGCCTCTCTTCCCTTGATGACCTCAGAACATGGGGCCTTCACCTCCCTCATTGTCCCTGTCTTTGTTCTCTGTACCTGTTGAGACATGGTAACCTGTATTTATCATCTGACCCTCCTGGTCAGGATTTCTGCTTAGAGTGGCTTCCATTAGACTGATGTCAAGGAAGTTAGTGACTTTCTCTCTGACTTTCCAGTTCCCAGAAGCCCTTCTTGAGTTCCTGGGCTCAAGCTTGTTTCCTGCATCTGCAAAGCCTGAGCAGAACACAGGCATCTCTTTGCTCCTGTTAACACACCTCCTCCCCTAACTCGTACCCACCTAAGATTCAGACCCATGAATACTCATGGCCAATATGCATAATCTGCTAATCTCTTCATTTCACAGAAACTTAGTCAGACCTGCCAAGTTTCCTCTGACCTTATATCATCCTTATGTACATAACACTGATGTCAAGGATTTAAAGGTGGACCTCCTCCCTTCCCCTTTCTCTTAAAGATAGGATCTCGCTATATAGTGCAGGCTAACCCTGGTCTAATGACCACTCTTCTTCAGCCTTCTGGAACACTGGGATGACACATGCCATCAAACCCAGGCAAGGCTATGTGAGGGCTATTGCTCAGCTGACTACATTGTCCATAGCAAACAGAATTCATTTCTAATAAACTAGAATTTGATTTGGTTAGGGAACTCCAGTAACCAAAAGACATTTCTTGCTGAAGGAAACTCTCTAATTTGGTCTTTCTCTACACTAGTCAAGTTCAAAACAAGCCTTTGGTTGAGTAAAAACAACACCTGTGTATAACAGTGCAGCTGGACCCAGCATGCTGTCCTTATCATTATTCTCTCATGGTTTCTTGGTATTTTTAAGTAAAGATCAAATTCTCATTTGTCATTCAAGGATCTAGGCTGTGTACCTCCTGATGTCTGACCAGTATTCAAGAACTGGTACCATCAAGTACCAGTGATGTCTGTTGTTAAATATGGTGAAGCAATCCAAACACACATTATTCTCCCTTAAGGCTCACTGTTTTTTTTCTGGATCTAGAAACAAAATCTTCATCTCAAGATCCTTGACTTAACAACATCCACTAAACCAAGAACATGACTTGCCCATGCCACTCTACGCAGACATTCATTCCCTGGCCAGACATGTGGCTCATACCTGTAATCCAGCACATATGAGGCTGAGTAGGAAGAGAGAGCATTTGAGACCTAAACAATCTATATAGCTAGTCCCAGTCCAACGTGAGCTACCTAGTGAGGCCCCGTTGACAATCAAACAAGCACATGTTCCCCCAAACCACAAATAAAAACAAAGACCAAACAATGAATACAATATCAGCTTTTTTTCTCCCCTTTCCTGATATATTTTCTTTCATCTTACAGCCAAGGTTTACGAGGAAATTAACCAGGTGATTGGAACACACCGTATCCCAACAGTGGATGACCGGGCCAAGATGCCCTACACTGATGCTGTCATCCATGAGATACAGAGAGTGATAGACGTTGTACCCCTGGGTGTCCCCCATAATGTCATACGGGACACTCATTTCCGAGGCTACTTTCTGCCCAAGGTGAGGTTGTAGCCCATTGTTGTCCTATCACCTTTCCTGACCTCTCCCTCTTCCTGTTTTTGTACCCCCAGCCTCTTTGCCCAACACAGAATTCTAATGGCCTCTGTCTGAATCCCAGGGCACAGACGTGTATCCCCTGATTGGCTCAGCCCTCAAAGATCCCAAATACTTCCGCTATCCAGATACTTTTTATCCTCAGCACTTTCTGGATGAACAGGGGCGCTTCAAGAAGAACGATGCCTTTGTAGCCTTTTCCTCTGGTAGGTAATTATGCCTAGATTTCCCAAGATAAATACTAGAGTGGTCTCTCTAGGGTCTGTGTTATAGAGTTATAAAAATACTAAAATCCCAGATCAGGTAATATTGGAACCATTCACTTGAATGATTGTGGGCATGTGGGCATGGTGGTGCAATGTATGCAATCTCAATATTCAAAAGGCAGCAGCAGTAATAAGATTTCAAGCAGAAGGTCAGACTGGGCTCACAGTGAGATCCTGACTTTAAAACCATTGGAAATAATGAGAAAAAATTAAAATGTTAGAGCAGCAATAGCAGTGAACACACATTTAGTAAACTTAACCATATTATGTTAAGAATCATGTTAAAAATATTTCATGTTTCGTCAGCCATATGATCCTTGTCTAAACCAGGCATATCTGCCCTGTACTGTGGACACATGTAACCACTGATAACACCTGACTGAATGGTCATGTATGTGTGAAAATGTGAACATTCTTATTCAAGAGCACTGAAACATGAAACTTGTTTAACTGACACAAAATACTCTCTTTTCTCTGAACATAGTCAAACATTCTAAAAGAGGGAAAGCATTCATACTCTCCGCACATACCGACATAAAACAGCACCATAGCTTGGCCTCACAGACAGAAGTATGTTGGCCAGTGAGTGGCCTTGGCATGATGTAATTTTAAATGGCAGTCATGGGACACCTGGAGCCTTGGGTGAATTATTGCAATTCTCAACTGTGAAATGGACATTAATCCCTTCCTACCAAGAAATGGTTCTTGGTGATCAGGAAGATAGCCTTAAATACAATTCTTGTCTTTTTTTCTTTTTTAAATAAATCTCACTAGTATTTGATACCTAAGGCATTTGAAATGCCTTTGAGGAACTGAAATGAACAGACTTTTGAATTTTTTCCCCCTGATCTGGGGATGGAATTCACATGCTCTGAGCAAATGTTCCACTGTTGATTCACACACCCCAGCCTCTCACTGGTGGAATGCAGTCAAAGCTTGGCTATTGAGTCACACCCCAGCCCTCAAGGATCCTTTGGAACCAGTCTATCTGGTTCTAACTCAGGCAGAATCCAGGTGGGCAGGCAGACAAGAAGTTCCCACCTGTCTGGTCCCTCTAGGTGGCAGCTAGTAGTTGGGCAGTAGCAGTGGGACCCTAGAAAGTCTTGATAACACCCCCACATTGTGGATACAGCCTTGAGCAGAGATGCTGAGGAGTAGGTTGAGACTGCCACACATCTCTCCATCACTTCTGTGTCTACAGGAAAGCGCATCTGCGTCGGGGAGGCCCTGTCCCGTATGGAACTCTTCCTCTACTTCACTTCCATCCTTCAGAGGTTCTCCTTACGTTCTCTGGTGCCTCCTGCTGAAATCAACATCACTCACAGGATCTCAGGCTTTGGCAACATCCCCCCCATTTATAAGCTCTGCTTCATGGCCCGCTGAGTGCCTGCCCACTGCTAGGCCAACAGAGTCCTCTCAGAGTTGAGCTCTGATGGAATTCACTGATGCCCACTCTCCCTTTCTTCCTCAACCCTCCCTATACTTAGAGAAGTCAGTCTCATTGCTGTGCCCGAGGCCACGGGTCAGGAGAGGTGTCTAGAAACACATGGCTGGATGTGTGAAGCAGGTCTCTAGCCACAATTTGGGGCAAAGCCTGAAGGTCAAATTAAATTCACTGAGTTTCTCAACCTTGGTCTCAGTCTGCACCACACTCTTACAGATGCTTTGCCCTTATACAGTCCTTTGCCTTTGCCCTGACAGTGGCCAGAATATACTCTGTACTCTGTCCTATTTGCCTTTATTTCTCCTCCCCAATAAAGAACTCAAGACTATTGGCCATAACAAGTTTACTGAGTGTCACGTTGACAATTTTCTTGTTGCAGGAAATAACCAAGGGATGAGACAGGCAAGCTGAGAGCCTAAAAGCCGTTTACTGTGCGCAGAACAGGCCCAGGGGACATCAGTCCGAAAACTGACCCCTGAATTCAGTCAACCAGAGCCTTTTGTGCCCCCTGCTTAGCAACCCAGCGTGACATACACTTTGGTTGGCTCTGTGAAACTTGTCTAACATAATATATTAAAATGCCCCCCCCCAAAACAGAAGTCTATCATGGGCAGATTGTTTTCAATGCAGAAGGGTGGGGAAAGAAGGTTAATTACAGAGGAGACACAGTGAGCTCGCACAGGGTGCCGACCTGGTCTTATCTTTCTTTAGCTTCTGAGAGGGTCTTCTACCTCAAGGTGAAGTGTAGAACAGTTGAATTGGGCTTTCTGACTACTTGTTGCTGATAGCAATTCTCTATGCCACCAACTGATTCCCAGCTGGTTTGGTCACCCCGTATGGCATCAAGAGCATTGCTGGCTCAGTGTTCTCCTCACAATCGTCTCTCCTACTAAACTTGCTCTCCTGGTGGCTCTTATCTCAAATTCCAATTCTACACGCCCTGGATTCTGTTTTGTGTATACCTCAGTTATTCACAGCTGCTGTGATCCTGTTTCCACAGTTCTATCAGCTTGTTCGGTGTCAACAAACTCTCCCTCATATCTCACTTAGTCAATAATTATGTGCAGTGTGTGCCGGTAACCTATAGGCAAACAAAACAAACAAATACTCTCCATGGAGGCGGAATGCTTTGATTCAGTGGAAATTGCTACACACTGCCATGCCTCACTCTGACTGGGAATTTTTAAATAGCTGTGATCTCGTTATGAGCTGTAAAGGAAGGTTGGGGAACACATAAGAGCTGAAGACTAGTGTTAGTGGAAAGTTAAGTGCCACAAGAGGATTTTAAAGATGCTTGAAATCAAAACACAATAAAAATTAGTAATTTTTGTTGTATTTGAAACCAGATAGGCCTTATCTGAACAACAGCAAAGATTAATAAAGTATAAGACATATATCCAGAGAGCTCACCACACTGAAATACAAACTGAAAGAACAAACACATATTTTAAAATATTTTTATTTATTCAATAATTTCATACACATTGTACTGGTGGGTTTGGTGTGTCAACTTGACACAAGCTAGAGTCATCAGAGAGGAAGGAGCCTCAGCTGAGGATATGCCTCGATGAGATCCAGCTGTAACACATTTTCTCAATTAGCGATCAATGGGGGAAACACCTCCCCACCCCCCACCCCCCACCCCACCCCCACTGCCCATTGTGGGTGGAGCCATCCCTGGGCTGCTGGTCCTGGATTCTCTAAGAAAGCAGGCTGAGCAAGCCATGGGGAGCAAGCCCGTAAACAGCACCCCTCCATGGCCTCTGCATCAGCTCCTGCCTCCGGGTTCCTGCCCTATTTGAGTTCCTGTCCTGACATCCTTCAGTGATGAACAGTGATGTGGAAGGGTAATAATAATAACCCTCTCCTTCTCGAGTTGCTTTTTGGTCCTAGTGTTTCATCATAGCAATAGTAACCCTAAGACACACATATAGAATTGCTTTAATGATATGGACCCCATTCTTCTCAAGTATCTCCCTCCCACTCTCTACAGAACACTTTATCTTCCCAATACCCTTCTAGATGCCCCCTTTCTCCTGCCTTTAAAAAAAATAGCTAGGGTGACTTGCGTGCACATGGTTTTAGAGTTATTTACTGGATAATGTAAAGAGGAAAACTGGCTTTTCTTTTCCCAATAGCCATTCACTACCCATAAGTCTTCAGCTAGGAGTGGAGCCTCCTATGCCCCACCCCCATCCATGCCAGGATGCTGACAGGATCCATCTAATGCAGGTAACCATGAACACAGTGAGTTTGTGAGTGCAATAACCATGCCATGTCCAGAAGGCAGCATGTCACAGTGTTCCTCCCCATCCTATATCTCTTACATTATTACCATCCCCTCATCCATAATGTCCCTTGAGCCTTGGGGAGGAAAGAATATAAATAAATGTCCCACCAAGTCTGAGTACTCGGAAGTCATTTATTCTCAACCCTTGAACAAATTCAAGTCTCTGAATTAGCTGCTGGCCACTGCAAAAAGACGTTTGACTGAGGTTGACATCAGATACCAAGCCATGGGTCTAAACACAAATACTCAGAAGGCAGTTCAATACCACATCCATTCAGCAAAACAGTAGTATATCCTCCCCCTGGGGCCCATAACCTTTCTAACCTTGGGTTTTTGACCAGGCTTACAGTACCAGCTATGAATTCCCTCCTGTGAAGTGGGCTTCACATTGAACCAAAAGTGGTGGTTACTACCATAACATGCATGCCGCTGTTGTATCAGTGGGCTCAGCTTGCCTGGCAGATCATTTCTGTAGCACGCAGGGTCCACTGCAGAGTAAAACACTGATGACTTACCCACCCCAGCAGCCTGTGTAGCACCTCCCCGCATGATAAAAACACCCAGCAGGGAGGAAACTCCCCGCTCTGTTCCAAATAGATTTTTCTATACATCATGACAAAAGCATATAGTGTCCTCAGCAATGGGGTCTTACCATCTAGTTCTGGTGGACAACCGAGAACAAGGGCAATAGCTGTTTAGGGGCTCCTGGGTCCTCCCTGACCAACAACTCATGGAGGGGTATTCTATGCCTAAGATTTCATTTACCAACCCATAGCTTATGAAAACACCATTATCCACCTATGCAGAGTACCTTCATTCAAACTCTTTTTTTTCCTTTTAAAAAGTACTTTTTAACTTATAAGATAATAGGTTTCTATATGGCTTTTTCATAAATCCTTAATTTTTGTTGACCCTTCCCTGCCCTCCCCTTCCCTATCTCCTCACCCTACCCTGTTTAAGCCTTCCTGCTCCCAGTGTTCACCCTTCTTTCCCATCACATGTGTTTTACTATTCCCTCCAAGACCACTTTTTTAGCACACACACCTCTCATGGATCTTTTATTGATTCCTGGCCTCTTCCTGACAATCACACGGAAATCTGGAATTTTAAACTTGGCTCCCTTTGTCCAGTGACTGATGAAGGCAGATGCAGAGATCCATGGCCAGGTACCAGGCTGAGCTCTGGGAATCCAATTGATGAGAGAGAGGAGGGATTCTGCAGGCGGGGGATGTGGAGATCATGATGGGAGGATGTGCAGAGATGACTGGCCACAGTGGAGGAAGCCCATGAACTGTGGACTGCTGGCTGTGAAGCCCCCATGGGACTGGACTATGTCCTCTGGATACAGAAGACAGTTGTTTGGCTCAAACTGTTTGGGGGGCACCCAGGCAGGGGGATCGGGATCTGACCCTAGTGCATGGGCAGGCTTCTGGGAATCCGGTGCCTGTGGTGTGATACCTTACACAGCCTTGGTGCAGTGGGAAGGGGCTTGGACCTGCCTAGGCTCAGTGTGCTGGGCTCTGCTGAATCCCCATGGGAAACCTTGATTTGGGGGATGTGGGGATGAGGGGTGGCTTGGGAGAGAGGGCTGGGGGGTGGGAGGAGGGAGGAGGGGGGATCTGTGGGTAGTATATAGAGAGAGTAGAAAATTTCTTAATAAAGAAAAATGGAAAAAAAAAACAGCTCCATATATGAGAGAAAATATGTAGTTCTTGGGTTACCCCACTTAATATAATGTTTTCTAGTTTCATTCATTTTCCTGCAAATTTCATATTTTTCTTTTTCTTTGGCACTGAATAGAATCCCATTGTTGTTTAAACTTCAGCACAGTAGCTGTGCCTTAATCTACTATTTCAGCCAGGAACTGCAACTCCGAAGTTCCTGGCCTGCCTCTCTAGCAAAGGCCTGGCCTCTCAGACCACAGCCTGGTGGGAATTCTGTTCCTACACGCACCAGCTCTGTTACTGCCACTAAAGGAAGCTTTAGCTAAACCTCTATCATTCTATTTATAAATAAGATTCAAGATTCAAAGGCTGGAGTGAAAACCTGCTAGTTCAGAGAGATTGTGTCACAACTAGCTAACCTTCTCTCCTTGCTGGTGTCTCAGAAAGACCCATTTCATCAAACCAGAAAAGGCTGCACCACTCCAGATCCCTCCCTACTATTTCCTGTGTCTCTCTATCTCTTCCCGGTGTCCTCTGCTGCTCTATGATTACTTTCTATCAACAAGTTGCTAACTCAGCCTCCTGACCCAAGGTTAATTTAATGCAAATGCAAACTCGGGGTTCACAGTGTAATTGAATATCCCCCAACATCCCGTTGTGCATATGTACCACATTTTCAGTATCATTCATAAGTTGATGGATCTTGATGCATCTCTAGACTGGTTTCTATTTCCTAACTATTGTGAATAGAGCAGCAATGAACATGGATGTGCAGGTCTCTCTGTTATGGGATTTGGAGTCCTTTGAGTCTATGCCCAGGACTGATATAGCTAGGTCATATGAAAGCTCTGTTTTTAGGTTTTTTGTTTTGTTTTGTTTTATTTTTTTGAGGAACTCCACACTAATTTCTAGAGTAAACTCCCTCTTGTTAGTATTAGTGCATTGGGCAGTGAGTTACAACACTTAGATTTTAGAGGGGACACATGCAAACCACTGTAAACTGTAATACTTGCCCATTTGTTTGTTTGAAATGGCCTTATCATGTAGCTTAATTTGAAATGGAACTCTTGATCCTTCTGCCTCAGTCTCCTGAGTGCCGGTATTACAGGTGTGCAGTGAGCCACAGAAATATGAAGTAGGAATTCAGCTGACTATGGCAAAGCTAATACTTAGAAGAAGCCAAGGGCCCTTACAGAGGATAAAGCCAAGACTTGAGGAGTCTTGGTGATATTGGCTTTTGAATATTAGCCATTTCCTGAAAGGAATTTCTTGTGTGCTATTGTAGCTTTTCCATTTAATTCTTTTTCTAAGAACAGTGTGTTTGATCATTCACTGGGCATGGTTTTCCCTACACAATTGGAGTATTTGGATAAT